AAGAAGAATGTAAGCTATCTGAGGGCAGGGATCTTGGTCTGTATTGTTTGCAGATGGATCCTCACCCCCATGTGTAAAACAGTGTCTGACATGTGGTAGGCACTCAATAAATACTGAATTAATGAATCAATAAATAGTAGTGTCATCTAGATATTTAAGTGAAAAACACTTGTTGTCTAATTAAAATTATCTCCAGCCCTCATAACATGAACCAAGTCGTATCTGCTAAATTCTCATACTCATGTGCACAGAATTTATAAATTCCCAGGTGGCTTCCATTTTCATAAACACCTTAAATTTTGAGTTTCCACTTCAATAAAATACTCTCACTAACCACTGCCTAATGACTTTGTATTTAAAGAAATCAACTCATAACTCAGCCCTATACCTTGCTTCTTCCACATAAACACTCAGAAACTGTCGTTTTTGTATTGTGTAACATACTTTCCTGATGCAATGGAAAAAGTCGCCACTCAACATGAATATAAGGCAGTCCTGTTATCAGCGTTCTCACTCACCCCAATGTTTTACTTACTCATTTCCTCTCCCTTTACCTCCCGTCTCCCCTAAAGTTCTGTGCATCTCCAAGGCAGAGCAGTTTGCCCATTCTATTCTCACTTTTGACTCCTATAAATGCTTTCCATTTCAAAAAAAAAAAAAAAGTATATTCTTTAATGCCCAACTAAGTTATGGCCATAGAAAATAAGGAACAAGATAAAAATGCAAGAGAGAAAGTCAGGAGCCATGAAGGACAGTGTGTGACCTCTAGATAGGAGAGCCAGGGCTTCCAGATGGGCTGAGACTTCCTCCACGGCCAGGGCAGGGGATTCTTACCTTTCTTTCCCACTGGCCTTGGTTAATTGCAGTAGAACAGTGCCTGTTACATTCTCCCCATTTTTCTTCTTCTCATTAGGAATTTCCATTGTGGATTCCCAATTCTCATTGCAACGTGGTATATTGGGGCTTCAAAGCTGAGTATTCTTTTAAGTTACGGGACACATACCACAAAGAAACTTCAACATAAAATGTTGGGAATATAACCCTTGGGAAGGATGGAGCTACTTCTCTGTTTGGGAGAAGAGTGTGAAGGGATCTTGAGAATCCGAAGGCATAATTCTGGCCGAGGCTGACAGCTGCCTGCCCCAGCATTCGTCACCCCTCCTCACTGCAGTGGATGCTTACAAGCGTCTGTTGCCTCAGCATCCAGTCTGAACACAAGCTTAATTTTCTCATATGAGGCACAGGACTCAGTCATCCTGGACAGAGTTTCCAGTTCTACGCCACAGTCACAAGTCCAAGGGGAAAAAAAAAGAGGAGCTTCAAATTCAAGTACTGAGCAGAATCTAGGTCTAGGAAACATAATCCTAGCCCCAGAATACTTCCTGATTTATGAACAAACTTCTAAAAGAGGGGTGATAAAAGGAAATTAAATATATCATATATATATGTATACAATATTTTAAAGTAAAAATATGACAAATAGATGAATAACGTCCATTAATACATAATCACATCAAAACAAAAATTTTACAATTTGATTTGATCGGGAATTCATATATTAATTTTTATACTAAAAATTTATATAACAAAAGGATGAAAAGGCATGATTTGGTTTTGTTCGTTAGCAACATAGGTACTAACTTAACTTCGACAACAGCAAAAATGCTCAAATTGACAAAAATTTATGGACTTGATATTAGGGTTCAAATTATAGTTATACATGAGGATCCCACTAAATCTACACAGCCTGCCTTGAGAAGACAACTACATAGAACATTTTGAAAAATGAGTGTATCTCACTTTAACTACAGCCTTGCCTAAATTACCCAGAGTCGTACCTACTGTCCTAAAATAGCCTATGTTGGAGGTATCCATAATAAATAACACACTAAAATTAAAGTAAGTTGTTGGCACTTAGAGATCGGCTTGATAAAATGGGATCACTTAGTCCCTCAGTTAAGACAGTTAATATGGCCCAATGCAGGGTGAAACATGGCCTTCTATAATTAAGTTCTGTTATGCAAAACACAATAAAATGGTGACTATCCACGCTGCATCTCCATTTAACAGCCCAAAGTACTTCCCATTCTCATATCTGAGAATAGAAAATATCATAGAGTCCCTTATGATGGATGACTACAAGCATTAAGGTGGTAGTCCCATCTATCAGGGACCCCATACATAACACCTAATATTATTATTAATTTTTTTTTTTTGAGACAGAGTTTCGCTCTTGTTACCCAGGCTGGAGTGCAATGGTGCGATCTCGGCTCACCGCAACCTCCGCCTCCTGGGTTCTGGCAATTCTCCTGCCTCAGCCTCCTGAGTAGCTGGGATTACAGGCACATGCCACCATGCCCAGCTAATTTTTTGTATTTTTAGTAGAGACGGGGTTTCACCATGTTGACCAGGATGGTCTCGATCTCTTGACCTCGTGATCCACCCGCCTCGGCCTCCCAAAGTGCTGGGATTACAGGCGTGAGCCACCGCGCCCGGCCCAACACCTAATATTATTAAAAATTGCTAATACTATTCAATCAAGAACTGGTACATATTTTGTTCTCATTCATTTGGCTAGCATGTTCTGTTAAGTGCTTATTTCTACAGACCCTCAGCTACAGTGGCCTCCACCTCTGAAGAAACACAATACACCTTTCCAGGCTACCTAGGGGTACCCTCATAGCTGTGTCATCACACACAAGCTTTGTAGACAAGAGCTTAATGACATTCGCAGTCTCCATGAGCACAGATACAGCATTACGTTGAGGACATCCTCCTCCAAGAAGATCCACTTGATACACACATTATGGTCATTTAGACTAATTTGTTGCTTAGTCTATTCAAGGTACTACAACAATTTATTACCCAGGGTAATTTGTAAACAACATAAATTTAGGCCAGGCATGGTGGCTCATGCCTGTAAAATCAGCACTTTGGGAGGCTGAGGCGGGTGAATCACCAGAGGTTAGGAGTTCAAGACCAGCCTGGCCAACATGATGAAACCCTGTTTCCACCAAAGAATATAAAAATTAGCAGGGCATGGTAGCACACTTGTAGTTCCAGCTACCAGGGAGGCTGAGGTAGGGAACTTAATTGAACCCTGGAGGTGGAGGTTGCAGTGGGCCGAGATCATGCCACTGTGCTCCAGCATGGGTGACAGAGTAATGCTCTGTCTCAAAACAAACACACACACACAACATAAATTTATTGCTCACAGTTCTGGGAGGCTATAAAACCTAAGGTCAAGGTGCTAGCAGATTCAACATCTGGTGACAGTCTCACAGACAGTGCTTTCTATGAGTCCTCAGGTGGTAGAAGGGATAGACTAGTGCGTATAGGACTCTTATAAGGCACTCATCCTACTTATGAGGGCAGAACAATCATAATATAATCTCCTACTAAAACTACCACCTTTTAATACCATCACCTTGGAGATTAGAATTTCCCATACAAATCTGGGGAGGGGAGAAACAAACATTCACATCAAAGCAGGTGAGTTACAATAAAGCAATCATGGCCGGGCTCGGGGGCTCACGCCTGTAATCCCAGCACTTGGGGAGGCGGAGGCAGGTGGATCACAAGGTCAAGAGATCGAGACCATTCTGGTCAACAAGGTGAAACCCTGTCTCTACTAAAAATACAAAAATTAGCTGGGTATGGTGGTGCGCGCCTGTAATCCCAGCTACTCAGGAGGCTGAGGCAGGAGAATTGCCTGAACCCAGGAGGCGGAGGTTGCAGTGAGCTGAGATTACGCCTTTACACTCCAGCCTGGGTAACAACAGTGAGATTCCATCTCGGAAAAAAAAAAAAAAAGCAATCATGACTTTAGGAATGTGGGATTTACAAAGAGTACCACCCTAACCTCGTCCTTGCTGTATACTTGCCCTATGAAGCTATTTTATTTGATGAGTTTTGAGCTGTATTCTTTTGTTTCCTTTTTTTTTTTTTTAAGACACAGTCTCACTCTGTTGTCTAGGCTTGGAATACAGTGGCATGATGTCAGCTCACTACAACCTCTGTCTCCTGGGTTCAAATGATTCTCATGCCTCAGCCTCCTCAGTAGCTGGGATTACAGTCATGTGCTACCACATGCGGTTAATTTTTATATTTTTAATAGAGACAGGGTTTTGCCACATTGACCAGACATTTCTCAAACTCCTGGCCTCAAGTGATGCACCTGCCTCAGACTCCCAAAGTGCTGGGATTACAGGCACGAACCACTGTGCCTTGCCTAAGCTGTATTCTCTAGAATAAACCAGTAAATGAAAGCAAAGTGATTTATTGTGTCCTGTGTGCCATCCTAGCAAATTATCAAACCTAAGGAGGGGGGTCATAGGAACCCTGATTTACAGCGCATCGGTGAGAAGCACAGGTGGCCAGGTGGGACTTGGATTGGTGTCTCAAGTGAGGACAGTCTTGTGGGAGTGAGTCCTTTAACGCGTGCGACCTGACGCTGGCTGAAGTTGTAATAGGAGGACAGACAGTGGTGTCTCCAGAGAATGGGAGAATTGCTCTGTTTGGAAAAAAGCCCACACATATGCTGTTAGACGTACGTGTGTAAACAGAGAAGTGGGTTTTTGCATAATTGTGCATCTTTCTTTATTCCTTTCCTCTCATTCTTCTCAGCTCGGTAATTGTTTCTTTCATTTTCCTGAATCTCTGAAAAGGAAAGGGCCTGGACTCTGAGATTCCCTGACTCTTGTCATTTGGAGGGATGAACTCCAGCCTCCCACAGAAGGTTAGAGGTGAAGGAACATTCAGACACATAGGTTTTCAAGACAAGCAGTTTGATGACATCTCCAAGGTGTCTTCTGGAAATGGTAAGACACCCTGAGTTTCTGTCACTGGATTGATTCCAGCTGCACTGTCCCTCCCCTTGTCCTTCAGCAAAGTCTCTGCTGAAGGCTATTATGTAAAAATCATAGGACATCGTTGGTTTAAACTGAGCTGCTGTACTACACCCGACAGACAAAACCAAAATAGAGTCACTCAGATGAAAGTTCTGTGCCAGCAAACCAAAAACTAAGTTGTTTATCCTGCTTTCCAAGAAATCATAAAGAGGGAGAAAGAGAAAATAGCCAAATTCCCAAACAGGTCACTTTCAGTAGGCATGAAAATGCCTCTGCTTTAAGGCTTACAAGAGAGGTAACCTAAGTAACCATGTCGGTCCATCTGGTTTGTTTTTTTTTTTATCATTATTGTTTCCCTATTCCCGGTGCAGAAGAAGCAACTTTAAAATGACCATTCAGCTTTTTGCTCTTTGTTTCTGCTTTCTTTAGCCCTCCTCTCCCTATAAAACCAAACTTCTCTGTTCTACTCTTCAATACATGCATTTTATTTTAAGGGATTAGGTGTTGTCAAACTCTAGAATTACAAATAAAGCCGACATAAAGTTTACGCTACATTTGCTGTAATTTCGTCTTTTGACAAATCCTTCGAGCTGGTGTTGCGTAACAGGAAGCCAGGAACTGGCCACAAGAAAAGGAACTCAGCTGCTGGTAAGTTGGGGTCTGGCAATTTAAAAATTGCCAATTATTGTTGGGATGCTTGCTCGCCAAATACAGCTTTGGAGTGTTTGCTATTTTTCTTTGAACCTGAAGTATGCTACAGATACAAAATGCATGTATTGTCTTCTAAGACTTAGTAGGAAAAAGAATGCCAGTTATCTCATTAATAATTTTCACTCTGATTACATGTGTCAATATCCTTTTGGATATGTAGGATTCAACAAAATATATTATTGATGTAACTTCTCAAATGTTTCCCACTGTGTTTACACATAGCTACTTGAAAATTATAATACACATATGTGGCCTGTGTTTACAGATCACATTATGTTTCTATTGGACAGTGCAATGCTAGAGACGTAGCACTGAAAGAAGATGCTAGCTGTGGAGTTTGCCTGTCAATGGAGAAAGCATTTAGGATAAAAAATAAATAAATAAACAAATGAACAAGTAAGAAAAGCATCTGGTGAGATAGGCTGGACCTGGGGCAGGAGTTTTGCAAATGCGTCAAGAGGATATCTCTGAGGACAAAATATTTAAGCTAAAAAATATAAATATTTAGAAAGAGCCAGGTGAAAAGCTCAAGAGGAAGATCATAATAGGCAGAAGAAGAGAGAAAGCAAGACCCCTGAGAAGGTGAGGAGCTGGCATGGGCAAGGAATCAAGGAGTCCACCATGTGTCCGGCACAGTGTGTCAGGTGAGAGTGCAGAGAGGAGGTACAGAGATACACAAGACAGATCCCAGGGCGCCTGAGAAGCATGAGTTAGAAATTTGGAAGCCATAAAAGAGTGCTGAGAAGAATAACACCATTGTCTTATTTTTCCTTTCAAAATATACTTTTTCTGTGTCTGGACTTTAGGGAACAGCAGGACCAGGAGTAAGCTATCTGCAAGGTTTGTGCAAATATCCCAGCCTGACAGGGCCATGGACGTGGGTGGTGGAGATGAAGATGGCTCTGGCTGTGCATTCAGCATGTTCTGTTGATAGAATAAATAGGATTTGGATTGTATTGGGTGGTAAGGAACCTGAAAGGTGAGTTCTAGATTTAGAGCTTTAATGACTGAATATTTAAGCTCCAAGTAGCTACAGAATATTGGAAGAGTGGCAGGTTTGGGAGGAAGGGACAATCAGTGTTTAGTTCAGGCAATGTTAGGTGTGGAGGGTCCATGGGACTCCCACGGGGAGACATCAAGAAGTCAGTTGATTATATGAGACTAGAGCTCCAAAGGAGGCCAATGCTAATAATTCAGATGAGATGACATTACTTTAAGCTGTGATATTGGATGACAGCACCTATAGAGTATGGGACACCCTAAATTTAGAGAAATTGAGAGCAGAAAACGCCGTAAATTGGACTGAAAAGAGGTGGCCGATTGAGCTGTAGAGACAACCAAGAGTGGACTGTGTATACATCTTACGGCACGGAAAAAATGTGTTTGAAAAAGGAGAAAGAGATCCAGTGGGTCCTATGTCTCTGGAACATCAGGATAAAAACTCAGAAAGGCCCACTGGATTTGGTAGCCTGCAGGTCCCATGCATCCTTCGGAGAGTGCATTAGCTGGAGTGCTAAGGACAGAGGTCAACATAAAATGCATTCAGCAGAATAGGTGAGGTGAGAAAAAAAAAGCAAGCAGTTAGAGATCCCCATTCCTAAAGTTGTTCTAGGAGTCCTCTTTCCAGAAAACACTTCTCTTAAAGAAACAGGGTTGAAGCTTAGAAAGAAGGATGGGCCAAGATGGGTTTTCTTTTAAAGGGAAGGGATAGGATAAAGTTTATGTGACAATAAGAATGATGTAGCAGAAATAAAATCCTGAAGGTTTGTTTTCAGCGGAAAACAGAAGAGCAAACGCCAGGGGAAAGTTCTTGGGAAGATGAGAGAAAGTGGGACAGAAAGCAAATGTGAAGAGGGAGGTCACTGGGAAGAGGTCGTCTTTATTCACAATGCAGGCAAATCGAGGGTTAGGAGAGAAAGGGCTAAAAAATGCACATCTAACTGTTGCCATTTTCTCATTAAAACATCAGACAAGGCCATTCGCTGAGAGTGGAGCAGCAGAGGAAGTTGGTTAGTTCGAGGATAAAGCAGAAGGGCTGAATGTGATTTTAAGGCATGAGAAATCGCACGTGCTGGAGAAGCACAGATGCTAAAAGGAAGTGCTGAGTTTCCATGTGAAACCTGTAACATACATCCAGATGTGCCTCTCAGTAACTGTGACACTGAGCAAGTCACTTCCCCTCTCTGAGCCATGGTTCCCTATGGATTACACAAGAATGCTATTTTCCCAAAACAAGGATGTTATAATTAGAAATAATAAAATCTACATTGGTTGACACACATTGGGACCGCAGCAAACGGCAGCCCTCATAATCAGTAGAGGCATAATCTCTGATCCACGGTTCTCTTCCCCACTTTATAACTAGGGTGGATCCAAATTTTTACAACCTCGTCTTGTTGGCCTGTCCCCGCCTGTCACTGGACATTTACCTTTCCCTCTTGTGTCAATATTTTCAAATGGCTTAGACATTATTGAGACATCATACCTTCTGAATGCCTTCTAGGATATGTGGAGAGTGGGTAGAGAAAATCTGAGTCTGCTGAGGAACTAGGGAATGGGAGAGGGTTAACTATACAATTCTGTTGAAATCAGTCCAGTGGAGCTCCAACTCTGATTCTACCCCTTTCTGACTGGGGGCTTTAAATAATTAATGTAACCAATATAAGTCAACTTCCTCATCTGTACAATGGTTGTACTAATTATAAGATTAGTCAATATTCCCCATGTCTCAGGGTGTGCTCAGTGCTCACACATATTAATACACCCCAACCACAGAGGCTGTGAGCAGAGTTGCGAGGGTTAAAGGAGAAGCTCTTGGCAATTTACCCACTGGGTAACATTCGTTAAGTCGTAGCCACCATTCCTGTGAGCATCCTTCTTGTCCTGACCTTGAACTTCATAATGCATGGCCTGGGATGGAGCCCCATGACACAGCACACAGCCTGGCGAGGACCAAGAGCTCCCATTGGTCATAGACTCACTCAGTCTAGCCTAGATCCATGTCTAATCTCACTTAATCCTCACCTCAAAGTTAGACTTCACCACAAAACTGTCCTCATTCTGCAGAGGAAAAAACTGAGGCTCAGAGGGATGTCGCTGACCAAGAACTCGTATTGGCAAGGTGCCAAAGACGAGAGTAGAGCTAACGGATCCCAAAGCCCAGGGCTCTTTACAGCAGTGATGCTCAACTAGGGGAGTTCTGCCTCCCCCAGGACCTTTGACAAGGTCTATAGACACTTTCAGCTGTCACTCCTAAAGGGGAAGTTGCTACCAGCATTGGCGGATAGAGGCCAGGGGTGCTGCTAAATATCCTACTGTGTGCAGAACAGTCTCCCACAACAAAGAATGGTGAAACCCCAAATGTCAGTAGTGCCAAGATTGAGAAACCTTGAGCTACATTACACAATGTCCCATGAAAGACCTCAGTGAAAGTGACTGGTAATGACAGGAAGAAAACGAAGAGAGAAAGGGAAAGAAGGAAAAAAATCATGACACCAGGGTATGACCATATCCTGGAAATCTTTGGGGAACTCCTTTCGAATGCAGCACTGTAGAGCTGCAAAGGTAGTGGCTCTGAAGTTGCTCAGCCTGAATTTCAAATCTCGCTGCCTCCACGGACTGGCTGGACATGCTGCTGAAAAAAACTACTAAAACCCCATGAATTCCCTCTGGCAAAAAAGGGGTAATGATGGCTGCCCCACAATGTTATTACTGGTATTAGAGGTGAACAAGTGCGAGACAACTGCTGTTACTTTCAGAGAGGCTGGATAGCCCAGCTCTGATTTTCATGGCCATAAACAGTCCTTGTAGTTTTTAGACAGAGAGATTCTAGCAGGGTGAGGGGGTGGGGGTGGGGTTCGTGAATACGCATTTTAACAAATACCTTGGATGTTTGTGATAAAGCCCACAGACCACGGTATAAGCAAATTTGGACAAGTGGCAAAGGCGCAGGGGTCACAGAGACCTTTGGGTTGGCTTGGAGGCAACAGCTTCCCACGTGACCTGCTGCAGAAGCAGGGACTAGAATTTTGTGACTTTGTTTCTTAAAAGCAAGGAAATAGATCCCAGAAACACCTCAGGATATCTTCCCATAGTGTTACTGCCCCGAATTTAGTCATGTGACCACCAATAAACGATCCTTTGCAAAGCAAAAGGAATTCTAGTTAGTACAAATTAGAAAACCAAGACATACCCGCAAAGGTGGAGGGAAACCTTCTCCAAAGAGTATCTGAACAAAATTGCAATTTGATTTGCAGAGAAGAAATGAGGAACAGTTATTTTGTTGGGGGAGGAGGCGTTGCCAGCAATATTTGTCAAAATTGTTGCATAGAGAAAGGGCTTGGAAGTCAGACTAAGCTGAACTAAAGATGTTTGTCTACTATTTCCTATTTAAGTGATCAGCAGATTTCACAATTGCTCTCAATATTGATTCATTCTTATGGAAACGGCAAATAATGAACACTGCCGAGCTATTATGTAGACCAAACTACAACCCATATGTAGCAATTAACACAGTAAATAGTCTCTGATAAGAACACCACAAATATGAGCTAAATATTCATGCTCATTCTGTTTACCCCACAGACCTTGAAGATAAATAACATGAATGCTAATTCACTGCATCCCAAACAGAGAACTTTGTATCAAGCAGAGACAATGAAAAGCAGTTGGGAGAAAGTAGATACACAGCCCTCTTTGGTCACTTCTTCTAGCACAGAATCTGCAGGATATAATACATTTCGGCTTTATTTATTTTTGGAGGATGGTGTCTTGCTCTGTTGCCCAGGCTGGAGCACAGTGGTGCGATCTGGGCTCACTAAAACCGCCACCTCCCGGGTTCAAGCCGTTCTCCTGCCTCAGCCTCCCAAGTAGCTAGAGTTATAGCTATCGCCACCAAACATGGCTGATGTTTGTATTTTTAGTAGAGATGGGGTTTCACCATGTTGGCCAGGCTGGTCTCCAACTCCTGACCTCAAGTGATCCGCCGGCCTCAACCTCCTAAAGTGCTGATATTATAGGTATGGGCCACCACGCATATAACATATGTCTACATATTACCAGTAATGGTTCAAAATCCTCTTCAGCTATGAACTCAACCCAAACCCTAGAACTTTAAATTAAATATCACCTAAAAAAGAGGTTAAGGGTCCTCACAGGGGGAGGGACAGGAGCTGAGAGACTGGGAGAGCATGAGGCCAAAAGAAGTTGCAGAGCTTGCCAGCATGTTTGCACTGAGTGATGGAGACCGGATGTGAACCTTCTGACTCTGAGTCTTGTGCCTTCCTTACGATACCGAAGCAGCCTCTGCTCAATTCTCCATTGTCCATACGCTCTGAGTTTAGTATTTCTGCTGCTGGACAGAGCCCTTTAATCCTCTTGGTAATCGGCCTGATAGGTGGAATGCGTCTTAATAATGATGGGAATATGGAGAACTATCCTTTCCCAAAGGAACTCCAAGAGAGTGCCAATTTCATGCTGTGACTATCGACAAGGCCCACTGGAGTGGGTCTCCTGGTAGGGGGAGGCGCTATAGTGAAAGTGAATGAATAGTTGTACTGTAAGATGGTTCTACAGCTGAGAAATGGCCATTGCTGAAATGTTTCATGTTTCAGGTGTGGGAAGATGGAAACCGACTTCTCCATCCCTCTGAATGAATCTGAGAAGGTGCTCCCTGAGCCTGATGGCTACACCATTCTGTGGATCTTCTCATTGCTACTCCACGGAGTCAGCTTTGTCTTCGGGGTCCTGGGCAATGGGTTTGTGCTCTGGGTGGCTGGATTCCGGATGCAACGCACAGTCAGCACCGTCTGTTACCTGAACCTGGCCCTAGCTGACTTCTCTTTCAGTGCCATCCTGCCATTCCGCATGGTCTCAGTCGCCATGGGAGAAAAGTGGCCTTTTGGCCAGTTCCTATGTAAGTTAGTTCACGTCATGGCAGACATCAACCTTTATGTCAGTGTCTACCTGATCACTGTCATTGCTCTGGACCGCTGTATTTGTGTCCTGCATCCAGTCTGGGCCATGAACCACCGCACCATGAGTCTGGCCAAGAGAGTGATCATGGGACTCTGGATTGTCGCCATAGTCTTCACCTTACCAAATTTCATCTTCTGGACTACAAGTACTGAGAATGGGGACACATACTGTATCTTTAACATGGCATTCTGGTTTGACACTGTTGCAGAGAATCTGAACGTGTTCATTACCATGGTCAAGGTCTACGTGATCCTCCACTTCATTATCGGCTTCAGCATCCCCATGTCCATCATCACAGTCTGCTATGGGATCATCGCCGCCAAAATTCACAGGAAGCGTATGATTAAATCCAGCCGTCCCTTACGGGTCCTCACTGCTGTGGTGGCTTCTTTCTTCATCTGTTGGTTCCCTTCTGAACTAATTGGCATTCTGATAGCAGTCTGGCTCAAAGAGATACTGTTCAATGGCAAATACAAAATCATTGTTGCCCTGGTTAACCCAGCAAGTTCCTTGGCCTATTTTAACAGCTGTCTCAACCCAATTCTCTACGTCTTCATGGGTCGTAACGTCCAAGAAAGACTGATTCACTCCTTGCCCACTACTTTGGAGAGGGCCCTGAGTGAGGGCCCCGACTTAGACAAGAGCAGCAACAGCAACGCCAATCCCGCTTCACCTCCTGAGGAGACAGAGTTACAAGCAGTGTGAGGTGGGGGGTACTTTTGAGCTCTCTTTCTACCCTGCGTTTCTTCTACTCTCATACCACCACCACAATCATCAACATAAGAGAAGACAAATGTGTAGGAGGTTTTCCCCACAACCAAGCAGTAGACACCAGCTGGTTGTACAATTAAATTCCAACACTATCTACCTGGAGCTAGTATCCGATCCCACAGGTGTAAGGGCTCATTCCAAAAGGCTGCTCCTCCAGTTGAGACACAAGTCACAAATCCAGGCTTCTGAAATTTCTGACCAACCGGCTTCAATTTGGGGTTCCCACCACCCCCTCTTCAGGGATAGCGCGGCTCATGGAACTCAGCAAAACATTTATTTAAGCTTGCTGATTTATTATACAAGATACTACAAAGAATCCGGGTGAAGAGGCACACAGGGCAAGGGATGGGAGAAGGGATATACAGGTTCCATGCCCTCCCTGAGTGCACCACCCTCCAGGAACCTCCATGTGTTCACCTATCATGAAGTTCTCCAAATCCAGTCCTCTTGGGTTTTTATGGAAGCTTCATGATGTCAGCATTCTTTCCCCCAGTGCACAGTATGAGACCCTCTCTGGGGAGAGTCTTAAGACCCAGAATTAGAAAGGTAGGGGAAGATTCGAGTCCTGATTTGGGGTAGATGAAGGAGAGGAGAGAGATTCTGTTTCCTGAGGCCTAACATACCCAACATTATAACATAGGACTGTAGCAAAAGCTATGGTAGTTATGAAGCAGAAACCACAGGCTACAACCAACGTACATTTTAGTAACAGATACCCTAACCCCAGTCCTAACTTCATTTAACCGTGGTCACGCTGAGCCATTCCAGGATGAGTGGCTTGAGTATTTCCTCAGGGGAAATACTTCCGTACCCCATGATTTAAGGGCAAGAAGTAGACAGTGAGGCCACTGTAGGTGTCATTTTTTATTTCTGGACCCCAGCCTATACCCTAAGTGAAGTGGGAAAAGAGTATAAGAGGAGAGGAGGAGTGGGGGGATTTGTAAGGCTTAGATGAGATAGTGTGTGTTTGTTTTTTTTAATTTTTACCTTAACATTAAGTCCAATGTTTGCTGTAGGCTTCCCGGAGTTTCCTCTCTTTAAAGTCAGATTGTTGAAGGTTTCTTCTATTCTTAGTTAAGAGTTTTCTTTTATTCTTTAAATCATAAATATTGAATTTTATTAAATATTAACATAATCATATTATTTTTATTCCTTCATTTATATGATTACAAATTAGATGAATTTATGTTAAACTACCCTTGCATTTCTGAAATAAACCATGCTTGCTTACGATGGCTTTTCAACATTTATCATCTGTCTCGCAGATCTGTTTAGAATTTCTGTATTTCATGTTCATGTAGAGATGGCTCTGTTATTTCACTTTTCTCTACTGTCCTTGTTAGCTTTTACATCAAACTTACATTTTCCTGAAAGGAGTCTGGAAGTGATTTTCTGATTCTATCCTCAGGTATTATAACTTTTTTGAACATTTAGAAAATTTTGCTAGTGAAGCCAACTGGATCTTGGGTTTTCTTTTTGAGAAGGCTTTTAAACATAGGTTTGATTTCTTTAACAATTGTTTGACCTGGCAGTTTTCTTTTTCACATTGGTCATTTTTGGTAAACTGCGATTTTCAAATGCAAGGAATTCGGCCATTTCATCCCAACTACCAAGCTTATGTAATCACCCAATAGATTCTTCCTGCCTGCTGCACAGACAAAACCAGTTCAGTGAGACTGGTATTGCAGTAAAGAAAGAGTGTAATTAACATGATGCTGGCCACAGGGATGAACTGAAGTTAACATTGAAATCAGTTTCCCTGACAGCTGAGGTTATGGTTTTTCAAAGATAGTTTGGTGGCCAGGAGCGAATGGTTGAGGAGGCAATCATAGGAAAGTGGGAAGCGGTCCTCACGCACTGAGTCTGCCTTGGAGTGAGGGGGTTACAGGACCACTTGAGTCATGAGTCACTGCTAGAATGCAAGTCTGAAAAACATCTCAAAAGACAAATCTTAGGTTCTACAATAGAGGTGTTACCTATAGAAGTAATTGGGAAAGTCACAAATCTTGGCCCTTCCTGCCCAGGGGTCTCTGGCCACATGACGCCTGGGCAGTAAGGGATTATAGACACTATAATCCTACATTTTAACAGAATTCAGACCCCTTGAATAATCCTAATCTCAGGGACTTTCTTACTTTTCAGTCCCAGAGCAAGGAGGGTGTTAGTCAGGGAAGGCCTACTATCATCCTTGCTTCCATGTTAAACTACAAACTAAAATCTTCACCTGCTTATCTTAGCCTACAGACAGGAGTGAGAAAGGACAGACAACCTTTGAGGCTAAAAGCAGGAAAAAGTCAGCCAGGCTAGATTTCTCTCACCGTCAAAATCTTTGCAATTGTGGTTTCATTTATTGTCACAAAACAGTGTAATTGTATGGTACTTGATATGTTTCTTTCAAGTAATGAGAATGTAAGCTATCTGAGGGTAGAGATTTTGGTCTGTATTGTTTGCTGATGAATTTCAATCTCCTGCATATAAGATAGTGTCTGATATATGACAGGCATTCAATAAATGTTTACAGCATTGATAAACAATAACATCACTTTATGTCCAGTCAAAATTATCTCCAGCGCTCATCATATGAATCAGGTCAGGTCTAGTAAACTCCCATCCTCATGTTCACAGTATTTGTAAATTCCCAGCCAGCTTACAATTTCACGAACATTTCTGATTTTCAGTTTCTGCTTACGTAAAATACTCTGGGTAACCATTGCCTAATGACTTTGTATTTAAATAAATAATTCATAACTCAGCCCTTTACCTTGCTTTCTGCACATAAACATTCAGAAATGGTCATTTCTGTATTGTATAACATACCTTCCTGATGCAATGGCAAAAGACACTACCCAACATGTATATCAGGCAGTCCTGTCATCAATGTTCTCACTCACCCCACTGCTTTACTCAGTCAATTTCCTTCTCCCTTTCCTTACTGTCTCCCCTAAAGTTATACGCATTTCCAAGTCAGAGTAGTTTGTGCATTTCATTTGCACGTTTGACTCCTAAAAATGCTTTCAAGTTCACAGGAGGTGTATACTCTTAAATGCCCAACTAAGGAGTCGCCATAGAAAATAAGGAACAAGGCTGGGCATGATGGCTTATGCCTGTTAATCCCAGCACTTTGGGAGGCCAAGGTGAGTGGATCGTTTCAGGTCAATAATCCACTTCAGTTCATCCATGTGGCCAGGAGTTCGAGATCAGCCTGAGCAACATAGTAAAATGCTGTCTCTATTAAAAGCACAAAAATTATCCAGGCATGGTGGTGCACACCTGTAATTTTAGCTACTTGGGAGGCTGAGGAAGAATCATTTGAACCTGGGAGGTGGAGGTTGCAGTAAGCCGAGAATGTGCCACTGCACTCTAGCCTGGGAGACAGAGAGCGATAAGAGAAAGAGGGAAGGAGGAAAGGAAAGGAAGACAGACAGAGAGAGAAAAGAAAAGGAGGAACAAGGACAAAAGGCAAGAGGGAAAGGCCAGGAGCCAAGAAGAACAGTATACAACCTGTAGACAGGAGAACCAAGACTTCCAGATGGGCTAATTAAGAGACTTCCTCCACTGCCGGGGTAGGGGATTCTTACTATTCTTTTTCAATGGCCTTGGTTAATTGCAGTAGAACAGTGCCTGCTGCATCCTCTTCATTTTTCTTTTTCTCACCAGGAGTTTTCACTGTGGAGTCTCAATTCCCATTGCATTATGATATACTGCGGGTTCAGGAAACTGCGTTTTTTGTTTTGTTTTGCTTTGTTTTTTTTTTTTTTTTTGAGACGGAATTTCACTCGTTACCCAGGCTAGAGTGCAATGGCGCGATCTCGGCTCACCGCAACCTCCGCCTCCTGGGTTCAGGCAATTCTCCTGCCTCAGCCTCCTGAGTAGCTGGGATTACAGGCACGCGCCACCATGCCCAGCTAATTTTTTGTATTTTTAGTAGAGACGGGGTTTCACCACGTTGACCAGGATGGTCTCGATCTCTTGACCTCGTGATCCACCCGCCTTGGCCTCCCAAAGTGCTGGGATTTGATTTGCTTTGTTTTAAGTTACAGGACACTGACCAGAAAGAAATACTTCCCAATGTGTGTCCATGTGGATGGATCACTAACTTCCTGTATCAAGCCTGGTCGGTCTGGGACGGCATTACTGCTTCCTGGTTTTAGATTTTGCTGCTTTGTGCAACTTAGCACTGCTGTTGTCAGGTATAGCCTTGGGGACTCTCCAGAAATTCTGGTGAATACAGATGACTCTGAACCTTCAGGCTCCCCTGCAGCTCCTGGAGGGCAGGTTTCACTGTAATGAGAATGTTTCACTATGGAACAGAAGTCACTCTTTCTCTAGTCAGGCCACTGGTGACGGGCCACTACTCGAGGGCATGTTGTCCCTTGAGCTGTATATGCTGCTCTTGTTACTTGGGGTCTTGATAGTGGTCTGGCCTGTATTGGGCCTAAGTTGCAAAGTTCTGGTCTCCAGCCAGAGTGAGCTGGCCAGTCTGATCAAACTCTACCTCCATCTCACTGATGAAAGAGCCACAGAATACCAGGCTCCTGGGTAGCAGCAATTCCTTCATAGTGAAGTCAGAAAAGATGATAAAATGCTGAGCTTCGTTGTGTTGATAAAGGAGAGGCAGGATGAAAGAACAAGTCACCTAAGCGGAACCTGTGATATGGCAACTGCACCTGCCTGAGTCCCGACAGCACCTTGCAAGAGCAAGTGCTGCTGAGGCAGGTTCCTCCTTGGTTGCTCTATTCCTTGCTGCTCTCACTCCTAGACCCCACCAGCCACTCAGAGGTCAAGGCGGACACCCTCAAAAGGGAAGCAGCTGCCTACAAGGCCAGTACAAATGGAGCTCAACCCTCAAAAATTTTTGGAAACAGTTTGTAAGGTCAAAACAGTGGGGTGCCAAACCCAAGGTCATCTAGATTTTCTCCTGTTATCTCCTGGGAGTTTAATAGTTTTGTCTTTTACATTTAAGTCTATGATCTATTTTGAGTCTTACTTATCTGGTGGAAACCTGACTGACACAGCATATGTTTATAGTGTTAAAAAGAAAAAAAAAAACAACAGGAAAGATAAAGCATTAACAGAAATCAGTAGAAATTGAGTGGAAGAAATGGAAATGGTCTCTCCATCTTCATCATTAAATTTTCTTTTTTGTGTTTTTGCCATCAGCATATACATATGTTCTCTAATCTACTAACTGAAAACTTAAAAACTTCTTGTGCCACACACATCCTCCTGAACTGTACAACGAATTTCTCTGCTCTCCCTGACGGCAAACTCAAGGGTCACTTCCAGTTTATTTCTCTTCCTCATTTTACATTTTCTCCAGAATCCACCCTAAATGGGTTCATATCTTGATCACTGCACGGGGACTACTCTTATCAAGGACAACAGTGACCTCCTTCGCCATGTTACTGCACTGCAACTTCAGGCATCTGGTGCCTGCCTACAAATCCAGTGGGATAAATCTGAGTTACATATGCTTATCTGATAATGATGGGAATCTCAGGCCCCAAGCATACATGACTCAGTTGTCCATACCCCTTTTATTTTAAAATATGTCATTCTCTTGGAGATATTATACCTGTTTGGTTTTCTTCCTACCTCAGTGACTTCTCTTTCTCAATTTCCTTGACTGGCTCATTTCCTGACTTTTAAATGCTGGTGTACCTGAAGGCTCAATTCGAGACCCTCCTCACCTATTTGCCTCAGTGCAGTCGTCCTAGGCGATGTGTTCCTATGACTTGAAATCCCATCTGTATATTAATGACTCCCCCTAAACATCCATCATAATCTACAACTTCTCTTCAGAAGTCCAGACTGGTATCTACCTCCCTCCTCTGCATTTCCACTTGAAAACCTACGGGGCATCATCAAAATAAAACTATAAATTGATTCCCCCAAAACAGTTGCTTGCCAAATCCTCTACATTTCTTTCAAATTTAGGAAAAGTCATTACCCTCTACCAAATGTGTTAAGTCTCACATATAAGTAATTATTGATTCCTTTTTATTTATTTATTTATTTTTAATGAGACAGAGACTTGCTCTGTCATTCAGGCTGGAGTGCAGTGGTGCTGGCTTGGCTCACTGCAACCTCCACCTCCCCAGGTTCAAGCAATTCTCCTGCCTCAGCCTCCCAAGTAGCTGGGATTGCAAGCGCATGCCACACACTACCTGGCTAATTTTTGTATTTTTAGTAGAGATGGGGTTTCACCATGTTGGCCAGGCTGGTCTCGA